GAACTTGCTGATTAGGGTAAGGTCTTGCCTCAGGATACTACCCTGAGTGAATGCACAAACAAAACTAGGTCAGGACTCTGGCTCTGATTGGAAGCAGACTCTCTCCCCCAGCATCCTCCCCACCTGGTAATGCCCATTTCTGTTTGTAACCCAGATTGGAAGACCGAAACCCCTCCGTAAATTTTGAGTCTTGTGTTTTCTGAAATGTTGGAAACGTCGTGGCCTTCAGGAAAAAGGTGTTTATTTCTTTGTTTGCATGTCTGGTTACAGAAATAGGCTCTCACAGCTCAGGACCTAGAAGCTCTGTGTAGGCATGGACAACCTTGACTTTCTGCTCCCTCTGCCTCCGCCTTCCGAGTGCTGAGATTACATGAGAGTGCCAGCACACCCGAGGTTCACGGTGACAAGAAGAGAACATAGGGCTTCCTGGGAGCTGGAGGAGCAGGCAACAGCATCAGCATCCCATTCCCCTCTTTACAACTGTGATCCAGGACAGGAGAGAAGGTTTGGTGTCAAGGCTATCTCCTGCTCTCCTGCTGCTCATGGGAGCACAGAAGCTCAGTTCCCAGCCCCCACACTGGTAGCTCACAACCTGTAACTCTAGCTCCAGAACTCTGTTCCAGCCTCAGCAGGCACTGTACTCACACATACACACACACACACACACACACACACACACACACACACACAAATCCATACTCAGGCAGACATACATGTACACATTAAAAAGAGACAGACAGTTGGAAGGAACGAAGGAAGGGAGAGAGAGAGGGAGGGAGAGAAAGGAAGGAAGGAAGGAAGGAAGGAAGGAAGGAAGGAAGGAAGGAAGGAAGGAAGGAAGGAAGGAGATTAAATCTTAAAAATAAGTGGCTTACTGTGAAGAAACCCTCTGGCTGCTGTGCTCTCCCTCTGTTTCCTGTAGTCCAATCACTATCATCACTGGAGGCAACCACAGGAGACATAGATGCCCCTCCCCTTGCTCCTAGCACTCTGGGACAGTAAACACAGGGTGACACGGGACCTTAGAAGGCATGGACCGAGCAGGTTTGATTCGTGCATCAGCACAGCCCCTCCCATCTGATTTCGGCAGCGATGGGGACAGCAGAGGTGCTTCTCACAAGGGCCCAGGCTGTCCAGCCCTCTCCCCTGGAGAGCAAGCGAGCCGAGAGTGGAGCCCTCCAGCTGCACTTGCATGGCCTCCACCCCACTGTGTTAAACAGCCACCTTCCCATCAGGAGACACAGACAAAGAGTCACCCTCTTTTGTATTTTAGGCAGAATGTGAAGTGAGAGCTAGAACCCTTTTACACACGCCCTCTCCAACAAGGGCCGTTTCCCGTGGAGTTTCTGAATTTAGAGCCCTCTGGCCTCTCAGCCTCCTCCATCCCATCACCTCCTGGGCATGTGTCTTCTCTGCATCCCACCTCCCCATCCCTGCCTTTGGACGTGCTAGAAAGACGAACAAATAAAACTCACAGGTCACCATCTCAGGAGGCTGCAAACAAACCATGGTAAGAGAAATGTCCATAATTTTGTGAAGCTGAAATAATTACATCAACTGGATTGGCTGCACACATTTTTATCTTGCATCTCTCAGATCTGCCGGGCTATTATAATATTTCTAACAGTTCTTTTCAATAGGCTAGCAGACTCGGGAGCATGGTAGACCTAAAGAAACTCACAATAAAAAATTATCGTTAAAAAAAAGATCATTTCTGCACCAGAGCTGCAGGAAACAGGCAGCGGCCCAAGACTTGGTACTGAAATTTTTAAATCTTTAATTGACTTTTTATGGGTCTCTACCCTGAGTATTAAACAGAAGGGTTTCTCTCTATTATATAGCCAAACTCATGCTGTATTCTGTTTTGCTCTGTAACTGTGTCTTTTTGTTTTCAAATGTAGGGTGTGTGTGTGTGTGTGTGTGTGTGTGTGTGTGTGTGTAGGTCAGAGGACAATTTGTGAGGGTCAGTTCTCTCTTTCCACCATGTAGGTACCAGGGATAAAACTTAGGGGTCAGGCTTGGTAGCCAGCCTGTTTAGCAGCTGAGTCACCTCACCAGCCTGTTTCTAATTGCCAAATGGCATCATCTATTTTGACGGGACCAACATGATGTTGTGAAGTACTTAAGCACTATGAATGGAGTGGTTGCATGCTCCTAATTAGCAAATATGCGGCCACGTAGAGTTGTCACTTTTAAGTGCTGGCAAATGACACCCACTCTCTTTGCATTTCCCAAGGATATAATACGTCACCACTAGCCAGGATCAAAATGAAATTGCTCAAGGGACTGAAGAGATAGCTTGCAGTTAAGAGCGCAGGCTGACTTTCAGAGGACCGGGTTCAATTCCCAGCACTCATATGGTAGCTCACGACCATCTGTAATTCTACTTCTACAGGACCCAGTGCCTTCATGATTACCAGACACAAGCATGGAATACAGACTTACATGCAGACACAATGCACACTAGAGTAGAAAAGCATTCAATAGTCCATGTATCAAAGGAGCGTATTCACATAGAACAGAAGCAAGACTTCTCTTCCTCCGACTGCATGGATTAATTCGAACTATAATATGATCTGTTTCAGTGACTATTAAATGGTATGTTTGTCTCATTAACAAGTAAATGACAGGGGAATACAGGAGTGACAAGACTCCTTGCCAGCTCAAGAGCAGGCTTTACTATATAACCCACAAGTATGACAGAAATGCATACTTATTTGCTTCCTGATTTATGCAAAAGAATTTACTGAGCGCCAATTAAGTTCCAAAAACCTAAGAAACAACAATTAGTTGGATGGATACAGTTCCTGCTGCCGTGGAACCAAGCAATACTTCATTCTGCTGTTTGTAAAAACATGCCTGCTGTTTGTAGTAATTTACTATACATAGGTACTTGGTTTAGGAGGAACTTTCAAGAAAACTCTGACATTTAATAAGCTGTTATGCTGTTGGTCCTTACTCTTCACAGAACAGCAAATATGTCCACTGGAGTGATGAACTGTTCCCTGTAAACAAAGGCCACTGCTAAACGAAGCCATTGCTTGCAAGTTTTCTCTGTCGACCTGGGGCTCTGTGTTCATTTGGAATAAACACCTGGTTTCATTGGGAATTAACTAGAACGTCTACCCCACTCTGGAACTGTACTTAAATGTAGACCCATAGGAACTGGGAACCCCAACTGGAAACACTGATGTAAATGCAATCTGCACTATTTAGAGCCAAATTTGAAACAGCATCTCATTGGAATCACCAAGGACACAAACACTTGGAGGAGTAAGAGTTTTTCAGTTCAAATATTCGATAATATTAATAAAAAAATCTTCACAGGTATGTCTATCAAAGGTCCCAGCTATTTTTATCTTAGTGTGGGCTTTAGCTTGTACTGTTTGATGCTCAGTGAAAAGTCTGCAATGTCTAAACCATTATTTTTCCTGCTTCCCTAAGGGGAGAAAAAAAAGAAAGCAAAAGAAGGGAAAATATTTTAGGCACCCAGAAATCTAGAGATTAAAGGATTAAAAGCATGTAATAGTCAGTGTGGGCTGAGTTGAGGCTTCCACACATGGCAGGGAGCCTGTTGATAACCATTGTCAGTTCCACTTAAAGACGAGAGGAGAGTGAGGCTACGCCTGCATCCACTCATGCAAAACTCGTTGTTGAAGAAGGATGGTGTGCCTCTTAGGATACCGATAATGGGCAACTGCCTTGTGGTTCAGAGTCCAGGGCTCTTCATGAGGTGGTGGGTGACCTGCGGCTTGTCCAACCCTTCACCAGAAGCAGCGGCTTCCCGGATCCCCAGAGGTAAATGCTGTCTCCTTGACCTTCACAGCCCTGAATGAGACTCGTTTCTCATGAAGTGTTTTTAAACTTCCTGAGGCACTTCTTCAATACTCAGATTTTCAAGTTCCTCTTAGAAAAGTCTCCAGGTGAGGGGCCTAGAGAGCTAACCATTTGGGAAGAGCCCCGATAGCGTGTCTTCACAGTGTGTAGGGAAATAGCATGGAGGCATTGCCCTTGCTCACGACTGACTTGTGGGACCCTCCCTAGGACCGTGTGCTGGGGTTCTGAGTCACTGTGCCTCATGCAGTCTGCAAGTCAACCTCATGTGATAGGAGCCAAATGATGCGGCTACCCGGCAGAAAGGAACCGGTGTTGTTCAGTAGAGAAGTCTTATGTTGAAATTTCTCCTCAGTGTGTTTGCCAGGCTAGGACTGCTGTAGCTACCAGGATATTCAAAACCCACTCTCAGTGTTCTCTCCGTGAACGAAGAAAAATATGAATATATTGCAAATATAATAGAGTGAAGCACCTAAAATTTCCTATATAAAATTAAACCTAAATGCTAATTTATTTTCTGTTAGGATTCAGGCTTTACGCTGGCCTGCCCCGTCACCTGGCAGAATGCCCAGGGTCCTGTGGCTGCTCTGTCACGGTGTAGTCCACAAGCAGATGCAAAGGTCCCTTTAAGAGGAAAACTCCATCCTCTTCCTCTCTCTCTCCCACTGTTCCTGTGAAGGGGTTAGACAGGACTTTTCCTGTCTCTCTTTTCTCTGTCTCTCTCTCCCTCTTTCTCTTTTCTCCCCTCCTCTTCCTTCCCTTTCGCCATTCTCTTCCCTTTCCCCAATAAAACTTCCCATCAAGCTCTGTCTGCCTGGTGTGTTTGTCCCTCGCCCGCCATGGCATCTGCCAAGGTCCCCCACATGCAGTGTTATAACATTTTCTATTTCTGCTGTTTCAATATTTTTGGTTGGTTGGATGGTTTTGAGACGTGTTTCCTGTAGCCCAGGCCAGCCTGAAATTCACCATGTAGGATAATCTCCTGCCTCCACCAGCTACCACCACATATAGCCTAGCCTACTTAGTTTCAACATATAGTGAGTCTTACTTTGTAAACATCTGACATAGAATTCACAAGCATTTCAAAAACTTTGCATATTGTTTACAATGTTATATAATGAAAGTTTTATCCTCTCAAGAAAAAGTTAAGATAAACTTACTTTATTGGGCAGCAAGAGATACGCAAATTTTGGTTTCTGATTAAAGAGGGTCATTTCTTGTTTTGTTGTCATTTGTTGGTTTTGTGCATCAGCCCTGACTCGGCCTCCCAGGTGACAAACCATAACAGTTTCATCAGGTTCTGTCGGGCAGAATATACAGAAAAATCACCAATCCACGCCGGGCATAGAGATGTGACCTGGAAATTCTAGAATTCAAGAGGCTGAGACAGGAGGATGGTAAGCTTGAGGCAGGCTGGGCTACATACCCCACCCACGGGCTGTGCTGGAAGAGCAGCTTGGAGTCACATACTTCTACATACATCAGAAGTCCGATGGCATCTATAAACCCAATGTTTGTGTTGTTTACTGGCGATGACTATTTCACATATGGGTATAACGGGCCTTGTCCCTTGCCCCGCCCTTTACCTCTCTCTCACACACAGCCCACCCCACACTCCAGCTGAACCTTCTCAGCCCCTCCTCTCCCGTTTCCAAGTCTGTGCTTTTTCTGTTTTGTGTGTTGCCTGGTCGTTCTGTTTATATGATCCACTGAGTTTAATTGGGGATGAGCATGGGTGGTGAGACATTTGCAGGAGTAGCAGCTCTGACAGCAGCTACACTGCTGGAGAAAATGGCTCCCCTCCCCCTCAGTCATTAAGTGCCAACAGCTCCCCTGAGATGGGTAGGGGGGACTTTAGCATTATAAAGCCACTTTCAATGAGGGGCAGCCCACACCTTCAATCCCAGCACTCAAGAGGCAGAGGCAGGTCGACCTCTGAGTTAGACACCAGCCTGGACTACAGAGAGAGTTGTAAGACAGCCAGGGCAGTTACACAGAGAAATTTTAAAGCATTATTTAAAAAACAACAACAACAACATTTATTTGTTTGCTGTAATGTATTTGTGCATGCACAAGCCACTGCATGTGTGTGGAAGTTAGAGGAAAACTTGCAGGCGCCAAGGCTACAGCTCAAGTCACCGGGCTTGTCAGCTCCCAGTCTAAGATATTTAATGGCATAATCCAGCCACTATTCTAACTAAAACATTATCATGAACCAAATATATATGTATATATGCATATATGTGCATGTAGTGTGCATATATGTATATATATGTATATTTTTGAATATATAGTAAAATAGTAAAAAGTTCCCAAAATAGTAAGAAATTCTGGAAATATCCAAAATAACCACCGAACCCCTGCTGGATACCTATTTTTTTCCTTTACCTCTAATGCCTAAAATAATAAAATAAAATCTATGAACCATTTTAAAGGTAATTGTTGATTTTTAAACTTCTAATATTCTCAATATCTACTCTTTGGATATTACTGAAAAACTCTGAGTGACCTTTCAGGTTATTGAGGATGTAAAATGAGCTCTCCTTAAAGTTGTTATGCTTTTACTGTCAGCAAATCCTCTCAAAGTTCAGCAGAATCATAAATAATGGAAGTTAATATTCTGTTATAATATTGATGAAAAAAATTTAAGCAGTCACATATACATTTAAAAATAAAAACTATTTTTCATTGCAGTTTGGATCAATGAAGACTGTTTCTCCAAGGTGGAAGTCCTCAAGGATCCATTTCCAGCTTCGTGTCTCTAAAGGAAAAATTATCTTATGTAAGTGTGTACAGTCTTTGTTCAAAATTTCAACAGAGAATACTAAAACTCAGATCACAGTTTTTAACATCAGGACTTCTGGAATGCTCTTCTCATCCATTTCCTGTGCTTTATTCTCTAACCTTGGGGAACTCATTCCTGAAGGTCAAGCCTGCCTTGAGCAATAGCCAAGGACAGAGGTGGAAGATGACCAGCACATCCCAGAATCTCGGCTCCCTTTCCTCCTCCCGTGGGAAGCACACCTTGGAGCCTCAGCAGAAACTGGATGCTGCCTCCTTCCCTGTACTGACTTTTGTAACACGAAATAATAAAAGACCCAAAGACAGATATTGGGGTTCAACCTGAAGATCAGGGAAGCAGCCAGCTACTAGCTCTCACCTCTAGCTCAGGCTGAAAGGGTTGATCCATGATCTCTTCACCTCAGACTGTTGCCTCTCCTCAGTGTGGCTGGAGAATGAATGCCTCCTACTGAATACTGAAGGCCCTGCTTCTGTCTTTTATACCTCTGTAGTGCTGGGATTAAAGGTGTGTGATGTGTTACTCTTTTAGACTGATTTAATCTCATGTATCCTTGGGTTTTCTTGAACTCAGAGGATCCTACTACCTCTTAATCCTGAGTCCTAGGATTAAAGGTTTGCACCACCACCTCCTAGCTTCTGGCTGCTGGGATTAAAGGTGTATGTCTGGCTTCTATGGCTTGTGGCTGACTTTACTTTCTGAACCCTCAGGCAAGCTTTAATAGCTAATAAATAATTCATCACTGTAGCTGTTCATGACTTTCACAGACAAGAGTCTCGGCTTTTGTGGAGACACCAAGTCTCCACTTTTGGAGCTTACGTTTCTAAAACCCTTCAGCATAAGGGTTTTTGGTTAAAGAAAACCTTATAGAAGCACAATCATACACACACACACACACACACACACACACACACCATGTATATAGCATATAAATATACATTCATATATATGTGTGATTCTAAGGCGTTTCATCAAGAATGATTACAAGAAGTTTTCTAAATATTTTATAATCGTTAAGACAAAGTAAATTTGAACCCATGCATGTAGGGGTGGGGGGCTTCTGAACAACTCTGCTGCCATCCATGCCCAGATCCGGCACTTCAAGTAGGTCAACCCCAACACCTACTCCATCTACTTCTGGGCTCTAAGGAGGAGCCAGTGCTGCAGAACCAGAATCCAGAACACGCCATCACCACGAAACATAAAAAACTGAAGCATGGCTGTGATCAAAGAAGTCTTAGTGATGGTTCAGTAGTTATGGTGCTTCAAAGACCAGAGGCCCTAAGCCAGACCAATGACTCCGGGCAATGAGTATTTACATATAGAGCTGTGTGAGCAAAAAAAAATATACTGATTAGCACTGCAGCTTCTGATGTCATTGCAAAGAGTGAATTTGTGATGGAGGGGTAGGGAAGATGGAAGAATAAAGCTATTGAATGAGTCGGAAGAGGGTCCATGTCCAAGATCTAAGCTGCCACAGGCCACGTTGGCACACATGGCCTGTATTTCTGCCTGATGCCATGTTGATATCTGCGGTCCATCATGCTGCCACCAGGGGCCATGACTGGTTCCTAAGTCCTGCTGCAGTGTCTGTGGCCCAAGTGACCATGCAGAGGTTTGCTGTTTTATATTCATCACTGTGGCTGTGCTTTAATCTACTAGCGACTGACGGGCGATGTCATTCTGTAAATATGTTTATCACTGTGGCCAATAGGGCAGCAAGATAGGCGGGGTCTAGGAGACAAGGAGAATTCTGGGAAGTGTAGGCAGAGAGCAGTCATCATGTGATTCCCGGGAAGAGAGGACACAAATGAGGCATTCTCCAGTAAGAGAAGACCCCATGGAAATACATACAGAGCTAGCCAATGAGATTAATTAATATAGTGTCTGTGTGTTCATTTGGGGCTGATGTGGCTGTGGGACCAGGTTGGCAGGACAGAGTGCTCGTACCAAGCAGCCTGGCTACTAAGGCTGTAGCAAGGGGGTGGGGGAGATTCTGCTCCCCCATAAAATGGCTCTGTTGCTGACACTAAAGGTAGATTTAACTAAATCTCTATTGTTCTAATAAAACTCGAGATGCAAAGGCTAGGGTGAAAACTTGTGTGCAGCAACTGGCCAACTTTCTCTCTTAGCTGGCACCCTCCCACCAGAAGCCATTCTCTTTCCACACTACCCCAAAAAAAATGCTATGCTCTTCCCCCTACTACTTCCTGTCAAATAGTTGCTAACCCCACCTTTCTGAGCCCAGGTAAATTTTATTTAATTAACACAAATATATCTTTACTTGGTTAAGCAAATGCAGCATTTTTGCCTAATTAAACAAATATTCCACAACATTTCCCCCTTTTTGTCTAAATAAAAAGTTTTTAACTTTAACATAGCAAAACTATATGTAATAAGAACAGTTATCAAAGAAGAATTACATTAACAATATGCAGTCCCTTTGCATTTAGCAAATTCAGAGAAATCATTCTATTATGTATCCTATCTCAATGAGTCTAAAACTCTGTAACTAATCTACCTTCTATTATAACCAAGGAAAACTGTAACTATAACTATGTAGTCTTCAACCCCATCAGAGACCTGCAAAAAAGATGTAATGTTACCTGAGTAAACAGGGAGTTTGCTTTCTACAGGGAGCAAGCAAATTTCAAAACAGTAGAAACAAAAGAGATATCTAGCTGCCTAGACAGTCATCTAGGTTCCTCTGCAATGCTGGGGCATCCATCTTTGGCCTGTTGACCTAGAATATCTGACAGACTTTTCTATGAAGCAGGAATTTTGAAGAACTGTCCTGCCTTGTTTTGGCAAAGTAGTTACTTTCCATTATGTCCTGCATGTCCAGTTTGGATGATATACTGTCAGAAGTTGAGTCAAGGACAGTTTCAAATAGCCAGCCTTGCCACAGTGAAAACAGGCTCCATCTGGAGGTTATTTGACACCCATAATCCTTTTATGAAGATTGGCGCTGCTAGGAGCAGATGTGCCTCACTGTCATGGAAACTTTAGGTTATTAAACGTAAATGACGTATTCAGTAGGTCTTTGAAGCATTTGAAGAGCATCTATCTAAAACATATCTGTTTAGCCTTTAAAACATACCTAATATAACTACAAGTTTGATTATTATAGATGACTAACCAATAACCTGCATTTCTTAATTATATATTATATATTACATTTTTTAATGAGCTGCATAGGCTCAATACCACAACCAAAAGTAGAAACACTCACACAGTATAACGGAAATAACTTTAAATTTGTACCAAGATACCAAAATCCATACCAATGTAAAATATTTGAGATTAATAACTATCTTTTTATCCTATATACCCTAAATGAGGACAAGTGTCCATAACCCACACACACCACCACTTGGGAATGTGGGAGTTGTGTTTTCTAGACTTATTCCTGTTGTCTGAGGGTGACTGCATCTTTAGGAGACCTTGAGAACATTGAGATAATGGCCAAGTCCTGGGAAATTTAGTTGTAGCATTTCTTGTCTAGTTTCAGACAGAACTGTTCCCATGCAGAATGATCAGCATATATATCACCTGTCTTGTAGTTTTTCTTAGTTTATTTATGCCTATAGCCAAGATTTTCAGATCTCCCTGATCAAACCCAACCTTAATTAACCTTGAAGGAATCTACAGCCTTTTGTTTCCTGTGGAAAAAAAAACATAGCCTCTTCCCCAATGTAATACATTTTCTGAATTCCATTTTAAGGTTAAGATACCCCTAAAGTATCTAGGCTGGTTTAACTCAACAGTCTCTTCTTCAATCCCATGTATCTCAGCAGCTGTTGTTCACTCATCAGCATTCAAAAAAATTGAAAGATGACACAACGCCATATAGGATCCAGACTCCTTGTGCATTTCCCATCTTTATACGTCTTTTTTCCTTTATATTACATTACTCTCTCTTTAAAAACTTTATTATTTTTAAACTATTTTTTCTATAATCTTTTTCTTTTCTTCCTTAAGCCTATGCTCATTGTTAAACACACTGTAACCATTATAACATTTTATACTTTTTTTTTCTGTCTGGACCTGTCTTTACTGTGTGTCTCTAGCCTTTTCTGACTGTGTGAGCCAAACCTTAAACTGCTAAGTTTTGTGCCAGTGGCAGGCTCTTGAGAGCAAGCTTTACATCCTGCAAGCCTGGCAGTAAGCTGTATTCAACTGGGAGCTGCATCTAACTGGGAGCTGCATTCACTGCCCCAGCTCTAGGAAGGTTGTGCCCTGCTCTATGGCAGGCATTTTTACTTAGCTTGCTGTTTCTACTTAGCATACCAACTACTCAAATGCTCATTGTATGGCAGAGCCTCTTAAAAAAGTGTTATCTATTCTCTCTCTCTCTCTCTGTCTCTCTGTCTGTCTCTCTCTCTCAGGCCCTATTTTGGTCCCATGTTGGAACATCAAATGCATCAGGCTTTCTTTTTGGCCACCAACAAGGTCCCAAATCAAGACATAGAGACTATGATTGATTAGGAATGCTCGGCTTTAGTTTATGTTTGTCCTACCAGCTCTTATAAAGTATTTTAACCTGTTTCTCTTCATCTATGTTTTGCCTCAGGGCTTTTTGCCTTTCTTTCCTTCTCTCTCTCTCTCTCTCTCTCTCTCTCTCTCTCTCTCTCTCTCTCTCTCTCTCTCTGTTCTACTCTGAGTCTGTCTGTCCAGCAACTGCCTGGCTGACTGGCCCGGGGCATCTCCCTCTCTTCCTCTTTTGTTCTCTTCTCCTTTCTCTCTTCTCTCTTGAGCATAGATTTCTCCTCCTACTTATTCTCTCTGCCCATCAGCCCTACCTATAACCTCTACTGTCAGGGTCCTCCGGCTACCAACCAGATATGGCTGCCTCATGTACTCATAAGAGAAGACATGACTCAACCCTCATAGAAAGTACGTGACTCTGGACCACCCTGCTACCTCCACTAAATTCCAGAAACAGGCCTGCAGCTTAATTAGCAGTTAAACATTAGCTCAACAGAAAGCCCCCAATTCCGCCAGGAGTTAGGTGAGGACATAGGAAAGATTGATACAGATAAAGTAAGGACCTACAGTCAGGTTACCTAGCAACACAGGAGGTTCTACCCCAACCTCTTGCCCTGGGAATTAGGTTTCCAGACAGCACAGAGAGTTCCCTCTCCCACTGACCTTTGCTCCACCAGGCTCATTGCAGCTGCAGCACACCCCCATTCCTTCCCCTCCTCCCTCCCCCTATATAAATCCCTTTGGGATGAATAAAGTTGTCGCCTTGATGAGAATCCTGTCTTAGCATCCATTCTTTGTATCTCCTGTTCTCATCTTTCTCCTAGGTGCCCTCCAGCCCCCCACTCTACTGCCTAGATATTGGCCATTCAACTTTTTATTAAGCCAATCAGATGCCTTAGGCAAGCAAGGTGAAATAGCAACACATCTTTACATAATTGAACAAATTCAGCATGAATGAACATATCACACCTTTACATAATACTAAATGAAGATTACAAACATGAGTGAACATAGCAATGAGCTCAACACATTTGCAAAGAAGAGACCTTAAATTCTATTTTTTAATTGTGTGTATGTGTTCACATGCACATGTGTGAGGGTATGCCTGCATGCGTGTGCATATGTGTATGGAGGTCAGAGGTCAATGCCTTGTATCTTCTACTGTCACTCTCCACATTATTCTTTGAGGCAGGGTCTCTCACTGAACCTGAACCTCATCCATAGGATAAGGTTAACTATACAGAGAATCCTGGGATCCTCCTGCCTCTGCCACCCCAGCACTCCTATTACAAGTGTGTGCTGCCCTGCTCAGCTTTCATGTGGGTTCCCCTGACCAAGTCATTACCCTAACCCCAAATCACAGGGTTCTACTTGTCATACCAGGAGAAATGAAACCCACAAGTATGGGAAATCAGTTTACATCAAGGAGAAAAGGCATGCGTGTGAGAAGGAAAGGGGAAAGGGCACTGCCAGTCACCATCTTCCCAGGCCTGTGCCCAGAGGCTCACAAAGAACTCTTACAGAAAGACGGGAGGCCCAGTCTGAAGAAGTTCTCAGCGTTGTGAAGGAGAGGTCACTGCATTTGCTGTCCAGATAACAAGGCACAGTGGGTAAGAGCATGACCCTGGGCGGACAGCAGGATGTCTCCACTCCACTTCCAAGATGGTTGCTTAGGGAGCTCAGAACGGATCCTTTGTGAGCAAGGGGCAACCTTCAGTTCCTTGGCACCCTTGAGGGACCCTCACTGATGTGGGCCACGACATTGAGGCAGGCAACATCTTTAACTGATAAAGCGTATTTCATTTATGAACAAATATAACAGGTTATGCATTCAGCCACAAATAACCATATAAGCAGATAGGTGAAACACCTGTGCACAAACAGGTGGAGACAGCCAGAGAAACGTGGCTACTACCATCTAACCCATACTTGGATGTCCAAACAGATAATGCCGGTAATGAAGGAGGTCTCCCCCGCCCCACCCAGTTCTGCTGCCAGAAAAATGTCTGTACAAGTTTCAAAGGCATACACTGGGTCTTTTCCAGGTTAAGAGTGTTCTCGGGGATTCTTTTTCTCTTCCCAAATGTTCCTGTCTCCCAGTAATCATCAAGTTTATGAGCAGGAATTGCCGATGACCTCAAAGTTAGCAGAAATTTCTTTTTCTGTCATCTTTCTTTTGGCTGTCCTTTGGTCCCCTGAGAAACCCTCCATTGTATTTAAAAGTACTGTATCTGCCAGCCACTGATTACCCACCTTTGCCCTTCTAGAAGCTTCCAGCGGAGGCTTTGCTCTCAGGCGTTCATGCCTTTTCAGTCCTTTTCTTAGAAACTCTCCATCCAGGTATCACCAAGACACGCATTCCCTCCATCCTAAGACTACATCTGTTTGTGCAGAAGCCCTGCAGAGTAGCATGCAAGCAAGCCCTCCTGGGGTCACCTGAAATTTTAGTAGTATATGAATCCTTGAATTTTATCTTTACTTTCCCTTAAACAAACAAATTAAGCTAAGACACACTCATACTCTCAATTATCCAAATAAGAGATGCTCAACTTTAGACTTTAGAGATGGCAGGTGTCAAGATTTTTCTCACCTTCAGAAAGAAGTCTGGGATAGTTGAATGTCAACGTGACTGGATCAGAAATCTCCCCGGAGATACACCTTCAGGCACACCTGCAAGGACTTATCAGGTTAGCTTGACTCTGAGCATGCTCGTTGGGGGCTATCTTGATTAGGTTGATAGAAGTCAGAAGATCCACCCTAAAGGAAGTCGGAGTCATTCCCTGGGCTTTCATCCTACACAAAAAGGAAGATGCAAGCTGAAGACCAACAGTCATTACTCTCTTCTCCCTGACTTCAGACACAATGTGACCATATGCTTTAACCTAGGCCCTCTACAGTTGTGTGACAATTGTGTAGCTCAGTCTACTTGTAGGAATCCTAGCAGTGGTAGGAGGGGCTACCCCTGATGCTTGGCTGGTTTTTGGAGAAACTCTTCCTCATACTGGGTTGCTCTACCCAGCCTTGATACAAGGGGAGAAGCTTAGTCCTACCTCAACTTGATATGCCAAGCTATTGTTGACACCCATGTGAAGCCTGCCCCTTTCTGAATAAAAACAGAAGAGTGGATGGGGGGAGGAGGCAAAGAGGAGATAGAAGGATGAAATGGAAGGAGAGGAGGGAGGTGGAACTACAGTTAAGATGCAAAATAAATGAATACATTTAATTAATTAAAACAATTTACATTTCTATAAATTTTTACTTTCATATAGTGTCTGCTTGTATGTGTGTGCAAGTGCCCACAGAGGCCAGGAGAGGGCATCAGATCCCCTAGAGTTGGAGTTACAGACTGTGAGCCACCAGAAGTGGATTCTGGGAACTGAACTCAGGTTCTCTGTGAGAGCAAATGCTCTTAACTGCTAACCCATCTATCCAACCCTTTTTGAGGCATTTTTTTAAAGCAACATTTTCTAAACATACAGATCACAATAACGAGCTAGTTGGGGAGGTCCCCACTAAAACACAGGTTTCTTGGTCCCACTACATAAAGCCTACCAAACTAGACTGCTTAAGCAAGGGTCTGCAACAGGAGGCTGGGGTGAGCTTCTAAGTGGGTCCATTTACCCTAGCGATGACTCAGCAGGGATGCCGAAAGCGGAGGACTGAGATGATTTGTTTTTCCTACTTCAGTGTTTTAATAGTCAAAGTAGCAACTGAGAAACGTGGATGCAGAGACTGTTTTCAAAGTTACTGCCAACTCTCAGGTCCCTTCTCGCCTTCCCATTCCTGTGCCTCACAGAACACATCTGTATGAAAGCTTTGGAATGCCTAGGAGGGAGTCTGAAAATATAGCTTACTATATTGTGTTATTATATAATTACACAGATTTAGATAGAATATTTTTACATCAAGTGTTTATATAATTATCTTGGTTGCTATGCTACCTTGCTGGTGAATGGTAAAAAGCATATTAAGATAGCACAGAAATCCTCACTCAAGTAGAAATGAAAGATACATACTTTCAATTTTAAAAAAAAAATGGAAGAATCATTCTAGGTGGAAAAACACCTTGACACCTGTAAAGGGGAAGTTGCTAGAAAAACTGTGGTGGTGCATATCTAAACTCAGTACTCCAGATGCCAGGGCAGGAGGAATAAAGGTCAAAGCTATCCTGACCAGGCCACACAGTGAGCTTGAGACCAGTCTGGAATACATTGTAACATCCTGCTTCAAAAATCAAAGGGAAATGGGCTGAAGAGATGGCTCAGTGGTGAAGAGGGTTTGCTGCTTTTCCAGGGCACCCATGTTTGGCTCCCAGCACCCACTTCAGTGACTCATGTCTGTAATTCTAGCTCATGGGATTCTCATACTGTCTTCTGGTGTCCAAGGGCATTCACACACAGGCATGCATCTACACAGATAAATAAAAACCAATGCATAAACCTTTCTATAAAAAAATCAGAGGTAAACAGAAAGGAGGGATGGAAAGGAGGAGGAGAGGGAGGGAGAGAGAGAAGAAAGAAAGGAGGGAAGGAAGAGGGAAAGGGGGGGAAACAAGGGAGAGAAGAGAGACTTAAAATAATAAAAACATTTCCCATGTACCAAAAAGCTCATCTCATAGAGCAGTAAAAATTCCAAACCAGTAGAGTTCTTCATCTCTGACCCAGTACATCATAAACTAACTCTGTGCAGCCAACTTTCTATTTGCAACTTAAGCAGTATATTTACAAATAAAAACAAATGCCTGCCCCTTTTTTTAATCTCACTGTAAATTTTCTATCAGCTAGTCTTTCTCTTTGCAAAATAACTGTGTTTGAGCCACCCTGAGCAGCTGTTTTCATCCCAGCGTTGTGTTTAGAAGCGTGCTGAGGATGTTTTGGTTTGAGTTTGGGTTTTGGTTTTTGCTGTTCTTGAGATTCCTTCCTTAGGTGGGAGTTTCAAACCATGCTGATAACTAGTTTCTAAACACCTCTGGTAGTCACAGCTGCCTAGCACAATGTCTCATAGTCAAGGTGGTAGTTTTTATGCCGTGCCTCCAAGGACAGGATAATATGTGGTACATTTACAATACACAGAACAAGCACAAACATGAAGTTTTGAGGCTCCAGTGGAAAGCAAGAAGGTTTAGGGACCAACAAATTGGCTCAGCAGGTTACAGTATTTGTCACTGAACTTGATGACTTCAGTTGTATCTTGGAGATCCACATGTTGGAAGGAGAAAACCAAGGTCTAAAAGTTATCCTCTGAACAGAACACGCAGATGTGTGATACAAAGTTTCTTGTAACTTCCAAAAATAGACTGAGGTGTTTTTTTTTGTTTTGTTTTGTTTTTCCAGACAAAGTGACTTACACCTGTAATTCCAACTTTCAGGGACAATGAGGCAGGAGTATTCTCTTGAGTATGAGGCTAGGTAGTGAGACTCTGTCAGAAAAAATAAAACAAAGTAAAAACAATAAAAATAAACTAAGAAAGTTTGAGACTAGGAATGTGATTCGTGTGGTAGACTTAAGAGAGTATCTGTCTAACGAGTGTGGAGCCCTAGGTCTGAGCTCTACCATCACACACACAAGGCATGTGGTATACCCGAGTCATCTCAGGACTCAGTTGGAGGAAGGATCAGAAGTTCAAGGTCGTCCTGGGCTATCCAGTTTGAGAGTAGCCTGGGATATGCAATTCCCTGACTAAATAATGATAATGATGATGATGATGATATTCTAGTGATAATAAAATTCTTTTTAAAGCACAGTCTCACTATGTAGACTGACCTTGAACTCGTGGTGTCCACTTGCCTCTGCTTCCTGAGTTCTGTGTTAAAGGCCTGCACCACCGCTCCCAGCTGGAAGAAGGCTTGAGTCAATATGATGAGTAAGAACAACAATCTAGGAAACTGAATCCCCAGCCAGTGTGGGCCCCTAGAGTATTTGTAGGTCCTTATGCAAGAAAAGAACCTGGAGCAGTAGGTGGAAGGGGGGAGACTTTGGGGGTGGAGATGGCTAAATTGGTGGAGTGTTTGTCTTGCAAAATGAGGACCTCAGTTAGACCCTAAAAATTCATGTAAGAATGCCAGGAGTGTGTTACATGTGTTTATGATCGCAGCACTGGGGAGGCAAAGACAGAGCAGATCTCTGGGATTGCTGGTCGACCAATCTAGTTTAATGGGTGAGGTTCCAGCTCATGAGAGACCTTATCTCTGAAAACAAGGTGGCCGGTGAGTAGGGAAGGGCATTCAAGTTGACCTGTGTCCTCTCAAGCACAGGCACACACATGAACAGGCAGGTGTCAGAAGAGCAGGGACATCAGGCAGCGTGTTTAAATGAAAAATACTACATCAGCCATCTATCCCCAAAGATAAACCTGCTCATTATCTCTGCAAGCATTTTTCCTGCAAGCTTTACAGCCGTACTGCACTTTATTAAATTACAAAAATAATACACACTTGGACCAAGGGAGTTCAACACTTGGTGTATTGCTTTGGCTGAGCTATGCTTTAATGATACCTTAAGCCTCTATAAAATGTTTCTATTTTAAAAAAAAAACAGTCAAAAAGACATTTGCCTCTGTTTGCTATTTAAAAAGGAACCGAGGGTTGGAGCTATTGCTTAGTGGTCAGGTACTTGCCACATACACAGCTCTGGATTCAGTCCTCAACACTGAAAATTAGTTTTATGATTTTATTTTATGTATATGGGTGTTTGGCTGCCATCTATCTGTGCACCACTTGCATGCAGTGCCTGAGGAGGCCAAAAGAGGGCACTAGACCCTCTAGAACTGGAGTTCCAGACAGTTGTGAGCTGCAATGTGGGTGTCAGGACTCGAACTCACATCCTTTGGAAGACCAACTAATGCTATTCCAAGCTATCTCTCCGACATCCTCCTACCCAGACACATACACAAATTAATGAAAATAAAAAACAGTTCAGTAGATTATCAAGCCAATCATGTCATGTTTCCTCTGAAGAAACCCACTCTGCTGAAGTGTGCTCTGGAACACACTGCCAGGGACAACTGACTCTTTTGAAACTTGTTATTCCTTGCTCCAGTTGTCTTATTCTGAGGGTTGGTTTCTTGTTTGTTTTCTTCATTCATACTTCTGAGACAGGGTCTCATGTAGCCCAGGCTGGCCTCAGACTCACTCTGTAACTGAGGTTGTCTTTGAACTCATGATCCTCCTGCCTCTGCCCCCTGAGTACTGACATTGCAGGCATGCGCCCTCGTATCCAGCGTTAGGTTGTTGCTTTGTTTACGTTTATTTATTTTGCAGGTTGGCATGTGGATGCCATGGCACACTTGAGGAGGCCAGGGTACAGTTTGATGGGTTCCGTTTTCTCTCCTCCACCATGTGAACTCAGGTTGTCAGGGTTGGTGCAGAGTGTCATTATTGCGGGGCTATCTTGGTGGTCCTGGCTTTTCTTTAACAAAATGAGTAACTTAATAATGTGTGGCCTGTTCCCTCACCCATAGTTTGGCCATTTCTGCCTGTGTTGCTGATTGCCATAACACAAACACAGAAAAACCTACCTGAACATGTTAGACTTTTAGTTGATGCTTATTAAATAAATAATACAGCGTAAGATCTTGTAAACCTGAGACATTCAAGAAAAGGTCATATTATCTAACACTAAGCCAGAATTTCTAGTGGGAAAGTCACAGATCAGGGAGAATGGGCAACTCTTGCTTGTCTAAGAACAGAAATGGTCTCAGCCCTGATGGGCTCCCCCTGAGTCCTTAACTCTGCCGACTACAAAGCCTTAGACAATTTTTTTTGTTTGTTTGTTTTTGTTTTTTCGAGATAGGG